GGTTGAATAGCCTTCAGTAGTGTTTTTCGATATAGCTGGGGTTGTCCTCAATAATCGATACGAAAAACTACATCCAATCGTGGTGATTATTGTAGCGATTATAATCATTATAAATGTTGAACTCAATATTAAATATTTTACCAATAAGCTATGACATATATTATGTATTCTTTGTCAAATAATATTTGTATATCTAGTGTAGAAAAGACTTTTTGTATCGATTTTGGGTTTTAGTGGCGATTGTAAACGATACGATTTTCCATAATTTTATAAATGAGCAAAAAAAGGGTGGATATGTGTTATTATGTTTTTCGTATCGATTTTATATGGGATTACCATGGCGATTGTAAAATGATACAATTTCTTTTACTATTTTACAAACATACATGCATATTGTAGCGAATGTACAATCAGTACAAAATAATCGCTACGAAAATTTCTTGTAGTGAGAGAGGAATATCTTTTACTAAGGACCTAAGGTAACCCGCTAATTTTATTTTTTTTACCGGTTCTTTGGGTTGCCTATAATGTTAGATTAATTAGGGAAGGGTTAGTGTATAATTGATTATTCAAGGTTAAATAATAGTTGGGATTAAAATGGGAAGATACCTCATAGTTCGGATTATTCATGTTAATTTTTCCTAAGTAAAATTATAACAATTGAATATTAATAAATAACTATTCATTGAGATTATTTCAACAAGTAACCACAAGACTATATTTATTCTTATGTATAATTACAAACATTAGTTAAAATGAATTAGATGAATAGCATATAAAGTCAAAACATTTCACTTATTTAAAAATGGAGGGAGTACCAAATTGGATTAAATAATGGAAAATTGGCTTAAAATAATCCCAACTATTAGTAGTGTATGCAAAATAATACAACCTCAGTTATTTGCTATTAGCGGTACCACATTTTTTGTACAAATGTGCAAGATAGTCCGCTTGCTACGGAGAAGGTATCTCGAGGAATATTTCGTCTATATCCATTATTATATTACTTTTTAAAAAAAAATACATATTAAGTTAATAATTTTCATATAGTAATAGGCTCGTTAGTTAAGTTCCTTTTTATTGATGGAGGACCAACCTCAACTCAAGCCTCTGTAAACCAGAACTAGCTTAGGGATCTTAGTTCTTTTTAAACGCTTTTTGTATCCTCTTTTAGTTCTAAGGTTATTCAAGTAAGAGGAAATTAGTTATTTTGGACCTTTTGGTCGGTGAATTTGGGAAAACTTTTGGTTTTTAGAATAATTTTTTTAAATCTATTATATCAATATAATAATGCATTTTAATACTTTATTTACTTCCTTTCAAAAAAATAATATACCCTAATTACTTTAACGTGATAGTAGAAATTTTTTACAGTACAGATTTTAACTAATCTATCTATCTATAACTAATAACTAATACTAAAGTAGTAATCGCTGATGTCATCTTTTCCCAAAACCGTACACATGGCGCTACCTCATGAAAAATTTTCCCGCTCAAATGTTAAGTCCATCTATCTATATACCTAAACTATATTAGAGTTTTTTTAAGGGAATTTTCCCTCCTAAACTCTTTTTTTCATTTAGATTTTTGCAGAATTATTAATGTGTATAGAAACTTTATACTTTAATATTTATTATTATGATGGTTTTTTAGATCACATTTTTATGAGACTTCTATACATTTTTAGGAAAAATTGTCAAAAATAATACAACCTTTAAGCAATCCGCCAAAAACAAGTCAACTTTTTGATTATTTCTTAATAATACAAACTTTTGAGGGTATCCACTTTAAACAAGTTATGACCTATTATTGACCTAATTAACAGGTTAGATGAGACACGTGTCATAATATTATTGATATGACAATTTAAATTGATTTTTTTATTTATTTAATGCTTTTAATTTAGATTATTATAATATTTTTTTTATAAAAAAATCACCAACTCCACCATCAGCCACCTTCCTTCCCCGGCGACCTGCCAAGCCAGCACCGGCGCCGGCCGCACCCAGATCCCCCTCCCCCAACGCCGGCGCCAACCTTCTCCCCCACACGTCGCCGCCCCTTTCTCTCTTTTCCCTTCCCCCACAAAACCACCATTACCGAAACCCTCCACCAGCCACCCCCTTCTCTTTTCCCGGCCAACAACCCCCTTTCCAGCGCCGAACCCCCTCCCCCGTGCGTCGCTCCATCATCCACCATTGAACTGTCGCTGCCCCATATTCCTTCTTCAACACAACATCGCAAGAGCAGCGACCAACCACCGCAATTCAAACTGCGCCGCGCTGCCACCTACTCACACCAACCAAAACAGCTCCCACCAGCCAACGCACCATCCACAAAACTGCCAGCCCGCATCTCCAATTCCAGCAATTCCCAGCCATCAACCCGTAGTAGCAGCACTCAATTCGAGGGTGGTGGATGGGTTTTAGTTAGTTTTACGGGGGGGGGGGGGAGGGAGGGAGGGTTTTGAGGAGGGCGGTTTGGTGGTTCAAGCATTCAGGGGGAAGAGGAAAGGGGACGCGCGGGGGAGGGGGTTTGGCATCGGCACTGGGCCAGAGGATTTGGTCGTGGCCGGCGGCAGGGGTGTTGGCCGGGGAAGGAGAAGGAGGTGGTAGTGGAGGAGATTGGTGATATTTTTAATAAATATTTTAATTGTTTTTGAAATATAATGGCTACCCAACTATTGTAGTTGGGTAAAAATATTTTAAGTGTTAATTGACCATGAATCTAGTTTTAATTAAGAGTTAGTTTGTTAAATGAATTTAATAAAAAAAAAATAAAAAAATCCGGTTATGAAGGTTACAGGTAAAATAAGGTACCGTTCTTTTGAGTTTCTGGCAGAGCATAGCAGAGCAGATTTGAGCAATATTATTATTATTATTTTATTTTAAGTATTATTACTATTATTATTGCATTTAATTATTATTATTATTATTATTATTATTAACAAGTGCATACCATTGATTTAGGTGAATGAAAACATAATTAGATGTGTACCATCTTTAACATATATTAATAGTAGAAAGATAAAAAACAATAGTTTATCATCTTCAAATTATTACAACTACATATCAAAATAGGAACATAATTAAATAAGACTTTAACATCGTGGTGAATTAACCATCTACCTCCATGTGATCTTCACTTTCATCATCTTTATGGCCGCTTTGATCTTCATTGTCATCACCTATTGTCGCTTTCCGATCGATTAGCCCTCCAAATTAGGCGTGCTATACGAAGTCGCATTTTGGCCATACTATCTTTGCGCCATTGTGCAAACATAGTTGAATCTGCTACTCCTATATTCGCATCATGTTGAATGATTGGTATGCCAAGCGTATGCATCCGAATAAAATAATATTTTAGTATTATTATTCCTTCAAGAAAAAATATTATGTGTTATTATTATGATCAATATATATTTAGAAATTTTTATAAATTAATATTATTATAAATATTAATAATTTTTATTGTGAATTATTATTATTATTATTATTATTATTTTATATTAATTATTATTATTATTAAATATTAATTATTATTATTAAATATTAATTATAAATTATTATTATTATTATTATTAAATATTATTTATAAATTATTATTATTATTATTATTATTATCTCAAAAAAGACAAAGTCATACAACCTACAAAAAATTTATTGGGAAGCCGAGATACAATCTGGGCCCCCACTCCTCTAACTATAGCAAATCCTATTCTGGTGAAGATATTATTATTATTATTTTAAAGATATTATTAATTATTATTTTTAATCCAGAGCAGATTTCAGCATAGCAGAGTAGCTCTAAAGAACAGGGCCTAACTTGTTTAAAGCAAAAACCCTCAAAAGGTTGTATTATTCAGAAATAATCAAAAGGTTGACTTGTTTTTGGCGGACCGCTTAAAGGTTGTATTATTTTTGACAATTTTTCCATTTTTTTATACTTTAATTATTAACTATTATGATGGATTTTTAGATCACATATTTCATGAGACTTATATTTAATTTGAATTACGCTCATTAAAAATCGAGGATGGTTCGAATATTATCAAGTTAGCCTAACATAGAACATTACCTTTGTTCCTTTCGTTCATTAGTAACCTTCCGACTTTTCTTATTTGTGGGTTTTATTTTAACTTAAAATCTTTTCCATTTGAAACCAATTATATATTCATAAGCTAATCTTCTATTTTTCCAATCAACAGATCCAAATAAACCCACGTATCCCGACTTTTCCATATAATCCCTTTTTCCAATCAAATGCCCAATTTTTTGATGTGTTTTTGGTTAACCTCCAACAGATCTTCTTCCTAGTTTACCCAACATTCGAGGTACGAAGGTCAAAAAAAGAATGTACATCTTGTCATCTTGATACAACTCTTACAAGAAACATGCTTTAAGGGATTAACTAATTACTACCTCCGTTACATATTAATTGCAATTTTCAGATATTATTTGTAATACACAAATATAGTGGTCCATTAATATGCTACACATAGCGTCAATTTTGCATGAAAGAGGTGTTAGTAAAGATGAGTTGAAAAAAAAAAAAATCGATTACAGTGGTAAAATGACTACTGTACATTTGTTTTTTGTTTTTTGTTTTTTTTTTGTAAGAACTACTGTATATTTGTTCCTTAATTCAAATCAATAAAAGTTAGAAAATAGTTCCTTTATCTCCAAATAAAAGTTTTATTTCACCTAATACTCTTGCCCTCATTTATTCCACATCGACTAAGAGTTGGTGAGAAACTAGTAAGTTACTTCTTTGTTTGGTTTTAATTAATCAAAGCCTACTATACCATTTTATCAAAATAAATTAAGCTGACGTTTAAAAATTCGTTGGAAACATTTAAACAAGAGGTAGGGTATAAAAAAAATAATGGTACCTTTGATTGGAAATATAATGTTGCCCAAATTGACTGCCTAATTGGCAAATGAGTTTTGGGGGCGCGACTAGTAGTTTCGTGGGACAGAGTCCAGCAAAGAAAAAGTGAGTCAAATTCAAAATTCAAAGAGACAAGTATAATTCAAACCTCGTTAATTCTGGTTTAACAATCATGTCCAAACAACAAGTGACACAACCCCCCAAATAATTTTCCATCTACAGTAGTTACTACTTACTAGTTTCTCACCAACTCATAGTCGACGTGGAACATAAAAAAAAATAAAGAAAAAAAGAAAATAATCGTCATCCTTAATAAAAACAGAGGGAGTAAATAATAATGGTCGAGGCCCAAACGAAGGTGGGTGGTTGAGGCAGTAAGGGTGTGGTTGTGGGTATGGGACTATGGGTGGCTGCAGACGACGTTGTGACTTGAGTGCAGGCATGCAGTAATATCACTAGAGCAGCAACAATGCCATGTAAAAACCTTTGGCATGCCAAATTTTATCTCATTTGCTGATACAGTTGTCTTCAGTTTCTAATTTCATACTCGTAAATTTAGTTTCTTATGTCATTTGCCTCCGAATTTTACATACCAACATCTATACCTGCGACAACAAACAAAAAATCAAGGAGGCACATCAATAAGGTCATAGATAGCAAAACCGATAAAAAATCAAGGAGGCACATCAATAAGGTCATAGATAGCAAAACCGATGTCCGAAAAGGGTGAAAATCGAAAACGGATACTCATGCATTTACTAACAAAATTAATAGTAACATGGACAAAATCAAAAAAAAGTTACTCCGCAAGACATTGTTGCAACGATGGGAGGATAGGTACCCTTTACAAAAATAGAGTAAGTAGTTATAAACTTCCTCGTCATAATCACTTATACTTCGTACATTAGAGCCCCATATATACAAGATTCATACCCATTTGACAGCTTCCCAAACAAATAATTAGTCTAAGCTTACCAACTGTTTGGAAGACAACAGCATTTAAAACAACTGAAAACTTCAAATTTGGCAAAAATTTAGTCCCTTTCATTGCTATTACCTGGATTATCATTTATCAACCAGACTTCAATCCCATAAATATTACAAAGTATTAATTTTATTTTGACATGAAATCGGAAAGGACTCAAGGAACCTTTCCAGTTTCCACCAACGAATCTAAACGGGCCATCTATAAATTCCAACCACTAAATAAGCATATGTTCCTACGAGTGGCTATGACTTCCTAGATAATTTGACAAGTCTATTATTATCAGCCAATCATATCTATTAAGACTACTACGACATCAACATAATACAACTAATATAATTAAAATTAATTGTAACATTTGACTATATGTAGTTTACAAAAAACACCTTTGACCATTGATGAAAAAAATGGTAAAATCTTCATATATTAAAATATAAATTGACACGAATCTAATAAGACTTCATGTGATGACTTTTATATTTATATATATATGGTTAAAGTTAACAAATTTTGGATTTGAAAAGTCAAATAAGACAAAATTTTGGGACATAGAGTATTATTATGAACACACACAAACCCGATCCAAAATAGAAACCATACAGCGGCCAACGCCATTAATTCAAGGACATGACAATGCAATGCTCTCGGAATTATCAAAGGTTAGCAACCTAACAGAAGCAACAAAGATGTCTTACGCAAAGAAGCATGCAATAATATAAGAGGCAACAAATATGTCTAGACTTTCCTCCTGCCAAAAATGTCAACAATTTAGTAGATACAATGGATGATGCCAACATAGTGAGCATACCATATTACCATGTAATCGTGGAACATACATAAAAAGGTTAAACAAAAAAACAATTCTTGGGATGTTCAACTAACTCCACAGTCTGCCATAATCACAGGGGGTGTACTGCTTAAGGTTTTGTCAATAACTAAAGCAAATTCAATAATGGCCCTTAGAGTAAACAATAGTACTCCCTTTTAACCTCCAAGATTGCCCCAATTTCCTTTTTGGTGTATTACTTTACGTTTGGCCCATACCATAAATGATCATGAGAGACTGCCACATAACTCTCACATACATTACTTTTGAACCCACCAGTTTTATCTCGCATCAACTCCACCCAACTAAAACTTAAAGATATACTCTAATGGCCAATGGGGCAACCTTAGAGGGACGGAGGGAGTAGTATTAAATCGAGTTTAAGTAGACTCCACGGGCTTCTAAAAGGTGAAATTTAGCCCTACAGGCTACAGCAAGACACCACAAGAAAAAACAAAGCATGGAAACTATCAACACTACAATCACCTTCTCCAGCTCAATAATGGGATTATGGGACCCTGCTTAAATTCTTTTCTACAATTCCACAGTATGCCTAGAATTCAAAGGGTAATATATTTTTCCAATGCACAAAATTTCTTCCTAGTTAATCTTTATTCTTCCAAGAGGCAGCGTGGAGGAAGTGGTGGTCACACCCCATAGTTGATGTCCAAAAACAATGCATCAAGGAAACTACTAAGAAACAGGAATATATTGGATCTACTTTTTCACTAACCTCCTTTGATTTCAATGAGCTGTGTTGGGGTGCAGAAACTTCAAATGATGTGAACCCCACCAATGTCACGTCATTAATCCAATAATTCCTGCCTCCCTCCACCAAATCATCTCTGTTGAATAACTTCCATAAGAATCTCACAACCAAATGTTTCCTTGACAGGAAGAATCCTGCACGACACAACATACCATTGAAAAAGAGCACATTCAGCTTGAAGAATCAATTTCAGAGAAACATCAGCAACAAAAAGGACTTGGAGATGGTCTGAGCTAAAGAAACATCTCTACAGTTAAATATAATGTAAGCTCAATGATTTACTTCAGCCGCTGTAATACATATTGAGACACTATCTGTCAGGCTGACAGAAGCATAGCTATTGAAAATAATTATAAAAAAAATAAAAAAAAAATAAAAAAAAATAAAAAAAACACCATTCAAAGTCAAACACTACCTTAGAAGTACTACGCACCCATTTAACACGAATGTGTGACAACATTAATGGAAAAGATATAGAGCCTTTATCCAAGAAAAAATTGATAAAAATATTAGGGAGCCTTTATACAAGAAAAAATTGAACAACGCCTTAGTCCCAAAATGATTTGGGGTCGGCTAACATGAATCATTATAAGGAACCGTCCGACAAAGAAAGAGCATCCAAGTAAAAATTGTAAAATTTAAGAGTCTAAAAAGATTACCAAGAATAAAATTAAGGAGTAGTAGTGATAAAAACGTGTGAGTAAATTAATCTAAGAATTCTGACACTCAGCTTATATCACCGTGATAAACAGTAGCTAGAACTTCAAGAAATCTGAGATCCTATTGACACCAAAACCATCAAGACTGTAATATGCAGACAAATTTTGCTGAACAATACTCATGACTTCATAAGTGACATTATACATCTGAAACAAGCTAAAAAAAAAAGGAAGGACGATTCAGAAATATTTTTCAAAAGCAGCCTGATATGCTCCAGATTATACATTTCCTACAGACCCCCAAGAAAAAAGGGGCATTTTAGGATGCCACTCAATTGCAAGGTATCATCCAATTACAGTCTCAATGCTACATTGCTAACCACACATATTGAAGTCTGTAGCCATCACAATCAGAAATGCAAGGGTAAGAATCCCAAAATCCACACCCATTAGCCATTATAGACTCATAATTGGAGTTTTCAAGCCAAAAAAATCAAGCAGTTAAACTGAATAAGATATTACAGTGATCCTACAAAAAGAAATAGCTCCTTTTGCACGCCAAAGTAAACTCAATGAACTTATGAACCATCCTCATTTTGGTTAGTAAAAAAGTGAGAGACCAATCAACATCTTTCATCTGAGAGAAGTTCAATCAGTGCAAGTTCAAAATTTGGTCTAATATTTGACAGAAAAGCATACCGACAAAAGCATAGAGATAATAAGCTTGGAAGATAGAAGTTTTTCCAAATTAGGAGAATAATGTATAACCCTTAATACTTATTACCTTTTCAGTAGCCTTAGCTTGAATCAGTACACTGAAAGTGAATGAACGCCCATGTAACTAATTATCGATATCTGAAGACCATAGTATCTAATTCTCACAATAATCTTTCTTAGGTTGTTGGAAAACCTCAGATGCTTGATGCTTTTTAGTATAGTGTTCCAAACCTTGAATCTCGCCAACAGCAATATGCTAAATTTCGTATAAAGTGGTTTCTACTTTCCCCAACAAAGTAAGAACTTTCATATTGGAGACTTGGCACTTGATATTCAACAAAACTTTCAGACAAAAGAAATGGGGGCATGCTACCCATAAAGGAAAAAACAGAACTGTGTAAAAAAATAAAAAGAACCCACAGGGTACTAATTAGTGTTTTAGTCAGTTAACTTTTATTCAGTACAATTTGAACAATAGGGTCTCATGAATACCCCACGCATTCCATGCCCCATCTAGTGCACAGTTTAGTAGTTAGTAACGTAAATATACCTAAAAATTCTCAACATATATGGGAACAGTCATTTGATTAAACACTATTACCCTACCCCCTCACAAGAAGAGGACTGCAATAACAGCTAGACAGAGTACCAAAAAATGACATATGAGACACAAAGGACGTATATAGTAGTTTTATTCTCTCCAGTAAAACCATCTAATAATTCAGGTCTGTGATAGAGCCAAACTTGTATTATTTCAGATTGTATATCAAAGAATTAGTGCAGCTTCCGATTCCAGTCAAGTAAATTTATCATCAGTATAAGTGTAGAACAACTTTCCATGTTCTATTACAAAATTATGATGCACAACTTATTTCTTCATTATTAACTATGGGGAAAAGGCATGTAACAAAAAAAAAATATACACATTTTTCTTTCATAACTAATCTGGTCCTCACTTGTAGCAATTGCTTTTTAAATTTCTGATTATATATCAGTTATTACACAACCAGCTCAAAGGACAAAGACTAAGAAACCATTTATGCTCAAGAAGAATGCCCATACAAAGGGTGTGGGTAATGATCTACTCAGGAATCTATTAGTTGGTGTGGCATCAGAAAGCAAGGAAATAATAATGTATGACATTATCAAGGAAAAAAAAAAGGGAGGGGCGGGGAGGGGGGGGAAGTGGAAGTCTTTCATGATGCATCAAAATGTTTGGACAGTTTATGTGGACTTAACATGACAAACAAAAGGGAAACATTAAATATGAAAGAATTAACCATCCATAGCACACTTCGTACTAAAATATGATAGTTGGCATAATAAGGCTTTAGCAATTCATGCCCAAAGGCAGAGCCATACCTCACATTGCACGAAATGTCTTTTGAAGAGTACAGAACTGTACAAAATATCAGCAAATTCCTGTTCAAGCAATATCCACTTTGGTGACCTTCCTGAAGCATTTCCTACATTCTGTGAACAAACTTCAAGAATCATGAAACCATGACATCCAGTCATCAACCAATTATATCAGCGAATTTTATCTAGCAGCACAACAGTAAATCCCGAATTCAAACAAACAAAAGGCAAAACCAAAACCTTATTCCCAAAAGGATAGGATCAGCTGCATAGACCAAGAATCTCTCATGTATTCAAGTTGAAGTAAATATTCAATGCCACAAGTAAAATTCAATATTCCTTTTGCTCATTCCAAATTCAATTCACAGGACACAAGACAAGTTAACTATTACACTTTGTTTGGATAGAAGGAAATGGAAGGAAAAGAAAGGAAGAGAAAGGGAGGGGGACAAACTCTCTTGTTTGGGTAAAGGATTGGGGGAAGGAAGGGAAAGGAGAGGGAGGGATCCATTTTCCCTCCCTCTTTAATAAGCATAATCCCTCCAAATTTGGAGAGATTTGGAGGGAAAATGGAGCTCACCTCCCCCTCCCTTTCTTCTCTCTTCCCTTCTTCTTCTATCCCTCCCCTTCCTTTCCTTCCTTGTTTCCTATCCAAACAAAACATTAGTCTACAGAGGGTTATACTGATAAAGTGATTATCATTTGAAAGGAACTCCTAAGCTGCAAAATGATCCTTCACTCTTCATGAATCTCAAGATAGGATAAGCATAATGTCAATCGTAATTTCCCTGAAGCATATAGTATACATAATATAAGTGTACAACTTGAAACTAGAAAACACCTTGCCTGTATGGCAAATCTGATAAGAATAGGCAATGCCAATACTGGCATCCAGCCAGACATTCTTACTGATCAATTTTCAAGTAATGATACATCAGCAACACTGAACACATAATCATATGTCAAACAAGTGGTATCCATGCCCCCCTGAAAAGGTGAACAAGGATTCCAGAGATCCATCTTTAATAAAGGCACAAAAACAAAATAACAAACAAAGAAAAAGGAAAAACAAAATGATTAAAACACTTGAATTTCTTACCCTCTTATATGCCACAAAGCACATCAATCGAAGACTCAGAGAAAAGCAACAAGCCACTGAAAGCAGCTCAAACAAACTCCAACAGAAAAAGTAAAATGATGTCCATATGCATAAGCAGTTTAACCAACATTCCAAAAGAAATTTACACATACATCCTGCCTTTCATTATATAGGGTAAAAACACATGTCTCTCAGATTCAAACATAAGATTCTGCATTGGCAAATTATATAATTTACATAAAGCTGTATAGTTGAAAATTTTCCTAGTAAATCACAATACAGAAACAACATCAAGAGACAAAAACTTCTGATTTCAATAAAAGAGATGGAACTCCAAAATTTTACAAATAGAGAGATGTATTTTCTATAGAAAGAAAAAAAAAAGTGAAGCAGATATTGGCATTACATGAATAAACTCAAAAACATACATTCAAAGGGCACATTGAGGAGACCTGTTATGAAAATCGAAGAGAAAATTAAGCACGCCTTTTGCTCAAACGCCAAGAATTAGGCTCATGATATCTATCATAAAGTGGTTCAATACGTTCTTGACGCTTCCGCTTGCTCATTTTTGTGGGATCTGCAACTTTGAAAAATCTAGGAGCCAACTCAACAAGCCACTTTGGATCCACAACAGTCACCTCCCTCATATATTCTTTTGTGGTCATAACCAATTCATGGTAGATCACCCAATCTGGTTGTCTCTGAAATAACGCACTGCTAGGATGGATGTAAACAGGCTGATTTTCGACCAGCGTTCTGTAACCCTCCTGTGGATCTTTCCTGGCTGCATGAAAGAAAAATCCAGCAGCGATTGCTTTCCTTATTTTGGTAAAGTCCTTCCCAGCGCTCACAACATCCAATTTATACCTAAGAAAAGAAATTAAAAGAATTTAGTGAAACAAATCTAATATGTTTGGCCTTCAAAAGTATGCTAACTGTATGAGTATTTCAATAGCACCAAATCCAAAAAAACTAAACCAGCAAAAGCAAGATTTAAATATTTTAAAAACTTAAACCCAAGTAACAGATCCAAAAAGACGAAGAGTATCACCACAAGCACATTTGACCCAAAAGTATGATACTCTCTCTGGCTACAATGAATAAGATTCCATATTCAAAAACAATCTCAGAACTTGTTATAAAATCAATTTGCTGTTTATAAACTACTGAGTGCTAACAAAAAATTATATAACTCAAGGAATATGGAAAAGATGTAGCAATCCCATTCCATTCTAAATTAATTCGAAGAAGTCAATATGACAAATAAATATATAAATAAATACACAAATCTCCCAATTCCACCATCCAGGGCCCAAAAGAATTATTCTCTCCCACGATATGTTTGGTTATAGCTACAGCAATACAATTTTAAATTTAACCAGAATGACACAACATAAAATGTCACAATGCATACTATTATTCAATTAATGATACCCATCTTATCTAATGGGTTGACTGAACTAATGCTCATTTCAAACTCTTTGTTTCTCCCCTACGCATTCATCTACTACAATATTTTACAAATGATTTTTTTTTTTTTTTTTTTTTTTTTTGTAAAAAAAGTGCCTCTCTGAGTGTATATGAACAGTGCAAAACTAGGTAACAGGAATATCACAAGATGGCTTACTTGTCCATAATACTGAGAAGTTGTTTCCTGACATCTTGTGCCCTACGCAAAGATCGGGACTGGATAAAATTTTCAAAGCACCACGGTCCAGAAAAATTTTTTGCTTTCCAGGCCTCATAGACAGCAAGCAGTGTTAGATGATCCCCCTCAGGCTGGAAAAATTTAGCCCTCTTTTGATCTGCTTGTGCTTGTTTCTCCCTAGGTCTGTAAAACACATTGCCTGTTGTAATCATTGCAATTATGGTCAAAATCTCATCACTACAGCCAAGGTCCACACTGGCCAAAAGCATCTTAGACAACGGGGGCTCCATGGGGAACTCTGCCATCTTCCGACCCAATTTGGTCAGAAGGCCTTCCTCATCCAACGCTCCCAGACTATACAATTGCTCCATAGCAGAAATAAGTGCTTGAGGAGAAGGAGGATCCATAAAATCAAAGGACAGCAAATCATTAATGCCCATTGCTTTCATAGTCAACGTAGTCATCCCAAGATTGATTCTCTGAATCTCTGGAATTGAGGTGGGAGACATTTCATTCCGATATGCACTCTCTGTATACAAACGATAGCATTTCCCAGGCCCCGTACGCCCAGCACGACCTGCTCGTTGCTTGGCTGATGCTTGTGAAATTGGGGTTATAATAAGAGAATCAAGCCCCTGCTTTGGATTATATACATTTTGCTTTGCAAATCCCGGGTCAACCACATAAAATATCCCATCAATGGTCAAAGAAGCTTCAGCAATATTTGTAGCCACAACTACTTTTCTCTTCCCAGGAGGGGCAGGATCAAAGATCCTAGATTGCATTTCACTAGGAAGGGCACTATAAACTGGAAGAATTATTAATTCAGGGACATTTTTGCCAAGAACTTTCATTCTATCATAAAGACACTGGCATGCAAAATCGATTTCCTCCTGCCCAGTAAGGAAAAGGAGAACGTCACCTTCAGGCTCTGTCAAGTGAATCTGTAGCACTGTGATTAAAGCAGCATCTAGGTAATCAGTCTCAGGTTGCTTGGTATACAATATCTCCACGGGAAAAGTTCTGCCAGGGATAGTGAAGATATTACAATTAAAAAAGTAGCCTGAAAATTTCTCTGCATCCAGTGTAGCAGAGGTGACAATCAAACGAAGATCAGGCCTCCGATTAATTAGCTGTTTGAGCAACCCAAAAAGGACATCTGTATGTATAGTTCTCTCGTGAGCTTCATCAAGCATAACAACTGAATACTGACTTAGATTTTCATCAATCAGGATCTCCCTAAGAAGCATACCATCTGTCATATACTTAATCACAGTATCTGGACCAGTACAATCCTCAAATCGTATAGCATATCCAACTTCCTCCCCTAATCGACAACCAAACTCCTCAGCAACTCTCTTGGCTACTGACATTGCTGCCACTCTACGGGGCTGGGTACACCCAATTTTACCTCTAGTGGTGTAACCTGCCTCTGCAAGATACTGAGTTACCTGGGTAGTTTTCCCAGATCCTGTTTCACCAATCACAACCAAAACCTGGTTATCATGCACAGCTTGGATCAACTCTTTCTTTAATTTGTAGATGGGCAAGCTATTCCTTTGCTCCTGGATAGACAGCTTGGACTTCTGGCCAAATGCTAGAGCCTTACCATAAGCTTCCTTCTTCCATTCTGGCATATCATATGCTGATAAGCCAACACCTCTCAACTCCTGTGCAAGATGTCTCTCCCCAGTTTCTGGCATTGGATCTTCCCAAGGACGATTAAGATCCTTTGGAATTGAATCAAGCATTGTCCTCTGCTGTTGCTCCCTAACTTCTCTTCTTTCTTTTGTCAGAGCAGACTGAAGAGCGGCTGCTCGACTCATGGAACCCTCGGGATTCTTAAAGATTTTAACAGGTGACATGTCAGCAGAGTATCGTGTTTGACCCTGAAGAAAGGCAGGTTCATCTTCGTTCAATTCTATCTCAAGCTCTTCTTCAGCTGTTTCTTCCTGATAAAGCATCCCATCACCTTCATCATCGAAACTGGGAAACTCCCTCACACTCAGAACCCCTGACGCAATCAGCTGCTGTGTTTCCCACTTTTCTGGAGAACTCATACGCTTCAGAGGGCGACGTGAAGAACCAGACGCATTCTCTTCACCTAACGGAATCCCAGAAAGACCTATCCTCTTGTTTGACCCTATTCCACTACTAGGATTCGCCCTTAATGTATCATCTTGTGAACTCTTCTTCTTCAGAGGGAGCAAATCTTTCCCAGTATCCTGATCCACATCCTTCATTG